GCATTAGAAATTTAGCTGCGTGAAGATTTCGTGGCACGGCGTTAGGCTTTAAATTTCTTGTACCCTCTCATATTTCTTATACTTCCTCATCTTCTGTTCATAATTTCATATTTTTTGGATGAAATGAACACTCCTGACGAGACTGTATTTGATATCTGTAAAAATGTGAAAATTAGAAGCACCAAGCGCAATTAACTCCTGGAGCTCAACTAAATCAATTATCCTTTTCTTTTTGGTAAGCAATGGGCTAACAGAAAATTTGGGAGTGCCAGGCACATCTCCAGGAAACTAATGCTCATGCACCAGAAAATGATTTTTTTTTCAAAGCTGTTTGTTTGATCAGTGTCTTTAGTCGTGAAGAGAACTTTTTACTGGAAACCAACATTTGAATTTTTCTAAGTACTGATCTATATCTCCAAATCGAACCACTTTGGGAGTTCGATGTTTTGGATTTTCTGACCCAAAAAATGATTGTTATAAAATATGAAATCACAGTTCAAAGTGGTTTTTTTCCGATCTGTCTTCTTGACTACACATAGTGATAATTTTGTGTTTTTCTATGATTTATTCTTGCAATCCGCTTATAAAATTGCTATCTGTGCTAAGCATGCTCAATTGAGAATAGTTACTTTGTTTGGACTAAAACTTGCTTTTTTCAAATGAAATCCTTTCAAATGTGTATCATCACTAATATCTTCATTACAGTTTGATTTCGAATTCACAGCGTAGTTTCTGGGCAAGGATTATAATTTTGAAATCTGTCAGCCACTATTATCTCAAAGTTGATCTCCCGAAGAGGCGCACACTTGCATGTATATGAATATAAATGTAACTGACTAAAGTGTGATATCTGTTTTTAGAATGTGGCTAAAATATGATTAAAGAAGAGAGACACATGGAATCTCAGGTACGATGAATGGTAGTGAAAATTGCGATAGGAAACGCACGCTATTTTATGTAATTTTATAATGTCCCATTCACTTTAAGACTCCATATTTGCCAAAACAAGTCAGAAATTTATCCAGCAAATACTAGGTCTGGATTAATAGCGCTGAGCTGAACCTTCTCTGGGTATGCGAATGCCCGCAAACATTTTTCCTGCGTATTTATCAAAATATCATTTAGCAGGATTTTGTTATTGGTTTAATGAAGCTGATCGGATTGAATGGCACGGAGGGATTGCAGCGGCGTAGGGACTCCCGGATAAGCCGGTCGTGCGCAATATGCTGCCATTTGGCTTTCGCTTAATGTCTCCTCCATTCGTATTTCTGGAATTCTAGCTGTAGGCGCATCGAATGTTAAAATCATCAGAAATAGGGGCTCGGATATGGCTGAGTTGTAAAGTTGAAAATTTAGGGTTATTTATAAAGTGGGCATTGTTTGCCTAAGTAATTGAAAGATTGTGCATGCGATGTGTACTTTTTCAACAAATGCATGAAGGAAGTTGCATTAAAATTTAAAATTTTCTTTCCTTTTTTTGTAGCAGCAGCAAAAAAATTTTTATTGCTCTCAAAAGGGAAGCCTAGGCATTTGTTGACAACTTAACGCATGCACTATTTTCCGCATCTCTCCCATGGAAAGGGCATCCAGGCAAATAACCAATTATCTTGCAAGAGCGATAGTCGTAAGTGTGCGGGAATTTTTGCAAATGTCGGCACTGCTTGCACGAAGGCAGTCGTTGTCGGTTGGTCAACAATCTGTTTCAAAAAGTGCTGAGGCGGAGTCTCATAATTCAGCGCTGCCAAGCTTCCGCTTTGTTGCAGCCGAACATTTTCTCAATTTCATTCTGAGAACGTATTTACCATCCGGCAGCAGCTGAACCCAATCTATCTAGCATCACGCACTAAAGTACAAATACGTCTAGTCCAATATGCACCCGCACTTTCCTGCAGAAGTCAGCTTCATTTGTTCCTGGTTGTTCGATGGTCCACAGCTCTGTGTCCATTGCCGTACCAGTTGCTTTTGCAGATGTCCACTAGTTTTAAGCTCGCCGCCGCTAATAGCCAATTCCATTTCTCCTCGATCTCAGTAGTAAATTCGCTCTAACACGTTCTGATGCATGCTTATTTGCTTTTGAACCTGTTCCCAGATAAGAATGTTTCCGTACTGGCTACGTATTCCTGGCAAAAGTGCTGTCTTTCGTACTACAGCGAAATTTTAGTGAATCTTTTAACAGAAAATGAAGAATGTCAAGTCCAAAAGAATGTCATGCTGCAGTCGAAATCGGCCTTTCAAATGAGGCAATTGTAGAACTCGTTAAGCTACAAACATTAGATTGTAGAACCCAATGCGATATCATCTCGTTACAAAGGAGGAAGGCTTTGATCAGGATGCGCCAATGGGCGAGCAAACTCGCCCACGCCACTCAATCCGAGTGGAGTCGAGTGTGAGTTTTGCGCCCAAAAACTCTCTTTATATAGGGTACAAACCTAGACGTAGTCAGTAGAGAGGAGAGGAAGAAGAGTTGTGCCTTTTTCAACGGGTCGCAAACAGGTATGCCTGGATGACCCGGTAAAACTGTGAAAAGATTGTTTTGGTGTTGTATCTTTATCCCCGTGCGATAAGCTTGGGAATGCCTCGAGCACTACAACATTTGTCGAGCATTAGAATATTTCTGTTTCGACGTTCCGCAATGTTACATCGTGCGGCGTCATCAACCATCAGTCGTACTTCAATAAATTTTTATTGGGGTTCTGTACGTGTATCGTGAGGGCAGAACAGTACGATAAGAAAATATTGCAAAATAGGAATATATTCCCATTTGCAGAATGAACAAACTGTAGAGAAATCGGTTTTCCCACTGACGATTTGAACTCCTCATCTACTGAACGACAACAGTGATACTTCCTATTGCTTCAAGCCTACCGACTTAATTGATAAACTTGGGTGGAAGAGAAGCTTATTTTAGGTATCGAACCTGTAGCTCAATATAAGGTTCAGAGAGTGTCTGTGAAATTTCTGCTTATAGCTTTCAAATACTGGATCATTCGGAAAGTATGCTGCATGCGTATGTGTCAAAACAATCCGGTATTATAATAAACTTTTGATTACTGTACAAACTTAAAAGAGTTTTGTAGATTAAGTTTTCCCAAATATTAAGAAATAAGTTTATTAGATATTTTATGCATTTCCAGATGTTGAATAGGGACGCGACATGCGTATTTTGTTTCTTTCAAATATTCAAAATCCAGTGTGATGTGGGATTGATTTTAGCTGTTAACAGTGATTGTCGGTGGAGCTCATAAATTCGTTTTTAATAAAGAGCTTCATCAGGATAAAAGCAAAATTACCAAAGATTTTTTGCAGTGCAAAAGCTGTCAAAATATGTAGTGATCTGTTGTGCAATTCTGTTTTATTTTTATGCCAGTGCGTTCAGTGAAGAGCTTTGTTATTGTTTCCGGCGGCGCATAAATGATTTTTTGTTGGAAAAGCATGCAGCATTTTTACGCACTTTTACACTAGGATGCGAAATCTCAGCAGAAATAGTCCGACGGTGTTTGTGTATATTTCTGACGCTTGCGAAGATTCAATTCCAAGATTACGAAAACGAAAAAACTGAAGTCTAGTTTAAAAGTTGAAGCACCACACCGATCAGGGAATCCGAAAAATTAAAATCGTCTTTCGCGTTTTCTATGTTTCGATTTCGAGAGGACCTACTTGGCCTCGTAGTATCTACTTGACACAGCCACAGCATATCACACGATATTTCTGTTTTTTGCCTGTGAGTAGAATGAATATTAACAAATGGGTCAAAAGAAGCCTTTACAAGGGAAACTGAATTTCGATGTGTACCATCGCGTTCACTCACTGCGAGTCTGTAAAAATGTACAATGACTCTACAGTTTGTACTGCTTTTCGTTTGAAAAAGTTGGCTGTAGGAAAAACTAGTGGCAAACTTTCTAAATATTTGCTAATAGCAAATTAGAAGTTAAAAATGGTTTAATATGCATTAATATTGCCATCAAATTACCTGGCAATAACTTCCTAGTCCTGGTACTAAGGTTGTTACTGGCATGTATCCACACTTGTTCCGGACCTTTCTGTTCTTAGCTGCATGCTTCATAATTTTTTAACAGCATTAGGATACTAACGGTATGAAAAAAAAAAAAAAAAAAAATGCAATCCTAGATCTGTTTTGTGGAAGGAGGGCAGGTGCCTTCCCTTTTCGTTATTCTCTTGCCACTCTTTTCTATGGGGATACTGTTTGGCTGGGCGATTATCCTCATATATTCAGTTTATTTTGTCCAAACATATAACAACTGCCTCTTCTTTAGCAAAAAGAACAAAGATTTCGGAATTTGAGCGCCTATAAGGATCTACGAAAAACGACAAGAGTATGTGTGGGTAGACCGCAATCTTGCGGTACGTATGCTTATATGTGCATGCACGTGCTTGTGCACACCGGGAGTGCGCGTCTGTATTCAACTGCAAACCGCTACTACCAGTATTTCATTGCAGCGCTATCGATTTTGCCAATTTTTGCTGCAAAAAATTTGCAGCTGGCAGAGTGGAATGCAGCCTGGAAGAAGTACTCTCGGAGTTGTATCCACGGAGCATCGGTGTGTTGATGACATGTTCGACGTTGGTGGTGTGTTTGCACATTACTTCTCGGTGTACTCTGTTCTCGTTCGGGTCCAATCGTGTAAAATCATTCCTTGGTTGTTCCGTGTTGCCGATAAGCCGCAGCGAACCTTCTTCCGTCTGCTTATAGTGATGTCGGGTCGAATGGTGAAAACATTACGGTTAGAAAGAGACTTCCGGCATCTTAAGAAAATTTTTGTTTGAGAAATCCTTTTTGAATTCCATGAATCCAACTACTGAATTTGTACTCGCAACACCTTATCGCGTTAGCAGTCAATGCATACAAAAACTTTTTCCTCCAAATGTGTTTGTTTTTCTATCAGTCACTTTCTGGACTTGGTAAATCATAGAAGTGCTACTGTAGTAGAAGCTTCTTTCAGAATTTTTAATGAATGACTTACAGCCTTAGATTTCTTTTAGTCTGAAAGTTATTCGCCACTAAGCTTCCTTGAGTTGTATTTTCTAAATCATTTAACTATATCGCAGCAGTAATTCTGCTCTGTGACTCCTCGATACTCTGATTTTCGAATTATTGCGCTCGAATCTTCAGGTTCCCGCTAGCCAAAAAAAATTTAGTCGTAGTGAGGAATAAAATTTCTTGGATGGAACATGCTGTTAGTTTTCCTGATAACATGCTGCGTATCACTGATTGGTGGGCGAGAGTGAAAGATTACTTAGACTGTCAACAAAAAGCTGTGGATGTACACAACAAAGGCAGTGAATAAAATTCAAAGAGAAGGGCATAGTGTGACTCCATTTATCTCAACGGAATCAAAATCACCAAACATTCCATGCATTCGCTGCAGGAAGAATATATTGATTTTTAGTTCGAAATAACAAAGCCCCGTCAGTCTGATAATTTCACGGCAGTAAGGAGGAGGAAAACGAGGTTTCTACCTCATTTAGAATCATTAAGTACTGAAGCTTTGAGTTGGGAAGACAGTGAAGTGTTTGAGTTGGGATTTTCACATCGATTAAATGTGCTGTGGCAGGTCGATTATGCGGTAGCAGTGCTCATAGCACGCTATGCAACAAGCTTCTTTTTACCGCATTTTCCATTGCTGTTATTGTTGTTATTCATCTTCGTTCAATACACTGTTCTACCTTATTCCTTCTTCTGAGACAACACTCTTGACCATGGACTACAACAAAGCACTCAAACTTATGCACAAAAAAGCTGAGAAACTGTTCCTAAAAGTTATTGTAAAAGAAATTTCATGCTCTTTTCTTCACTTGCTTTCTTTTGGCAGTTAAATGAAAACTAGTTTCACCCTACTTGTAGTTCTTCAGTTATTCATCATTATTCATCTTCTGTTTTTTTTTTTTTTGTTAATTTTTAGCTCTTTTTTTAATGGCAACTCACGCCTCTAAAAACGGAATTTACGATACCTTTATAAATTCTTTGACACGGCTTGCACTTTTTTGGGGAATTTGTCTGTTGACTTGACCGAAACATGCTTGGGAGGCTAAGTGAAAAAATTGGCCAACGCACGGGCTGCCCGTGCGAAGATGCGTTTTTTGCAGAGTTCCCTGCAG